CATATCAGGTTTAGACGCCATTTGGAAACACTTCATAGTGAGTACGTTAAAAGTCCCGAGAATTCTTTAAATTAAAATTAAGTCATATGAAGAACAAACATAATTTTTCAAAAAAACTTTGAACGAAAAAGGTTTACTTGCCTTTTGCAAAGTATCATATAAAATAGCCAGATGTCAAAAGGCCCAAACCTAATTCTAACAGTTGCAATCCATAACTCTTTTAAATGATACTGTTGCCCGCCGAATTAGGGATATTGCCGAAAATGTAGAGCATAAGCTTCTTGAGCAAACATATATATTGGATACCAGTGATAGAGTTAGTGCTTTTTGTAGAAAGTTGGAGCTATGGAGCAGAAATGTGAAACAAAAAAAAACTAGAAATGTTTGCAAATGTGAATGAGTGTGTCAAAACATACAAGGAAGAAGAATAGTACGTGAAAGTTGTTTTTGTAACAATAGAAAGTCTTTTAGTCATATTGGTACATAATTTTAAAATGTATTTTCTCGCTGACTACAACTTGGTAGCAATTTATGAGTGGGTTAGGGATCCATTTCGAACTACTGCCGAAAGACTCTCAACTGCAGAAGAAGAAATCTTCATAGATTTTACTGCAAGCGGCGAAATCAAGAGAGAATTTAATAATAAATCTCTTTTTGAATTTTGGGCGGGAGTGGATGATGCCTTTTCTCCACTGAAAATAAGAGCATTTCGTGTATTATTGCCACTTTTAACCCATGCGAAGCCGGATTTTCTGCGGTGGCTGCTTTTAAGACAAAATATAGGTCTCGACTGAATATAAACGAAGAACTAAGAGTGGCTATTTGTAATATAAAACCTTCTTTTGAATAACTTTGCTGTGCGACACAGGCCCAAGGAGTCACTAATAATTATTAAAGCTACTTTTAATTTAGTACTGATGAGTTTATTATTAAGTGTAAGGGGTTAAAGAAAAGGTCCTTTATTTCTCACAAGTCAATTTAATTGGCGACCGGTTTCGAAGCTGTCACTTCATCATCAGGCACACCTAAATGGAATGTCAAGGAGTCAGTTGTAATAAAAAACAATTATAAAAGCATGAACGGACTTTAACATATACAAAATAACAGAAAAAACACAAAAGAAAGTTAAACAATAACCTTGACTCACCTTGACTATTTCCATAAAGGAAGCGCTACATAAAGTTTAACAAAACGAGTTAAAAAAGGCATATGTAATACAATAGTATTTTTTTAAAAAATATTTTAGGTTAGGTTAAACCGCGAGATGTCTGTTTGAATAAATTAATTAAAACACATGTAAGACAATTATTAACTAAACAACACAAAATAGTTTTTACAAGCACAAACAATTTTTAAGGATATAACGTCAATTAATGAAAGTAAAAAGTAAAAATTATCAGAAAATTAGAACACTGAACAAGAAAATATGAAAATTCATATGTAAAAGGGACATTTGAAGCAGTGTTCTAATTTTCTTGTTAGTATTTTTTGCTTTCTCATTTCCCAGTTTAATATTTTTACTTTCAATAAATTTTGTCACCGCCACCTATACTCACTTTCAGTAAATAACACCTTTGTTAGTACACTATTTATCCGCTAAATTTAAAATTTACAGTTTACTACATTGATTCGTTAAAAATCTAGATAGATGTCTTGAGAGTCTGATAATTTTTACTTTTTACTTTTTTACTTTTTACTTTCATTAATTGACGTTATATCCTTAAAAATTTTTAAACTGTTTGTGCTTGTAAAAACTATTTTGTGTTATTGTTTAGTTAATAATTGTCTTACATGTGTATTAATTAATTTATTCAAACAGACATCTCGCGGTTTAACCTAACCTAAAATATTTTTTAAAAAAATACTATTGTATTACATATGACTTTTTTAACTCGTTTTGTTAAACTTTATGTAGCGCTTCCTTTATGGAAATAGTCAAGGTGAGTCAAGGTTATTGTTTAACTTTCTTTTGTGTTTTTTCTGTTATTTTTTATATGTTAAAGTCCGTTCATGCTTTTATAATTGTTTTTTATTACAACTGACTCCTTGACATTCCATTTAGGTGTGCCTGATGATGAAGTGACAGCTTCGAAACCGGTCGCCAATTAAATTGACATGTGAGAAATAAAGGACCTTTTCTTTAACCCCTTACACTTAATCCCTATTACTCACATATGGCTACCCTCACTCCAAAAGTTTATTATTAGTTTCATTTGGCATTTGACAGTACCTACGTACTGATACAATCATATTTATAATAATTACATAGTATATTAGTTTAAACCTGTACTGTACTATTTTTTGTAATGTCAGAATGACTACCATTATGCTTTTTTTTTGTAAATTATTTTTTTTTTATTAGTAATAATCGATTTTTTTTTATTTTGATGTGTAGTTATGGCGCGCCTAACAGGTTGAGAAACGTTGGCGTAGAATGAACAAATGGTAACCCATAAAGGTATGACCTGTCCCTGGGTAATTCCAGGCAGCTCCAAGACGAATTTTCGGGAAGGGGATGCCGTTAGCCATTCCCTTTTTAGCATATTTTTTTGAATAACATGCTCATATATTGTAAGCATTTTTGGGGGGGGGGCATGGCCCATATAGCCCCCCTTGGAGCCGCCCTAGATTCCACCAGCATTAAAAGAAATGTTGCGTGTTCTTTCATAAGTTCAACAAAAACTTTATTTAAAAAATGTAGTCATTATGCACCTGTAAATAAGAATTCAATGGCCGAAAACAAATTCTAATACAAACCTAAAGGTAGGGGAACCAGTGACACTTTTTTGGTACGCGATTATGCAAGGCAAATTACAATTTTTTCGTTCATTCTTGTCTTGTAGAAAACGGAAATACTTTGCTGTACACGCATCAGCAGTGGATCCCTCAATGTCGTCTGTCTTAAAAAAAGCCTTTACAGAAATGCCTAATGTCACATTTTTGATTAGATAATACTGGTAGACACATAGTTTGTTACATGAAAATTTTTAGGTGTTTCTAATGCAGTTTGATACCCTGAAGTCAAATCTGAAAACATAATTTTTCTCTCACCCACAGATATTCTGTAACCTGCGGCTTTAGATTCAATACGTAAAATTTCATTATATTGCATTATCTCATATTTTCATATGATCAGGGATCTATCCGGTTTAGACCGGTTTCTGCTTGCTTGTTCGAAGTAAACAGCGTGTTTTACGATCATTTTATTTTACAAAATTTATCAGTAGACTAACGGTATCCGAATCGGTTACGTTTTCTGTGTTTGGAGAGCAAAAAAAAAACGTTTTTGAGTTCACATTCTTTTACGTTTTGTAAATTACTGCGTTTAAGATTTTTAAGTACAATGCCTAGGCCAACAGTTTTTGTTATGTTAGCGGAGAACTAACTTTTAAATCGCAAAAAACGTACTTTTACTCCTTCATATCTGTTGTAAAACTTGTGTAACATTGTTAACAGCTTGGTTAAAAGGTTCAAATCGTAAAATGCCCTTCGCAGTGCCAATGGTTTGGAGAGAACCTAAAGACCATGTTATAGACTGCTAATTTTGCCTCACGAGCACATCCGTTATCATGAGTATGGTAGGGCAATATGTGGAAACTTAAAAGTAATAGCCTTTCTTCTTGGAATGCAACTAGGATAAACGAAATATTGTTGCTTCCTTTGCGAATGGGACAGCCGTGCGAGAGACCGTCATTATGTACAGAAGCAGTGGCCAGTACGTCAGGCACTAACTCCGGGACAAAAAAACGTTACCAATGAACCTCTAGTTGATCCCAAAAAGGTATTACTATCACCTTTGCATATTAAATTGGGTTTATTGTAGAATTTTTTTAAGGCAATGGACAGAAATGGAAGAGGGTTCTTGTATCTGAAACAAAAATTTCCAAGAATCAGTGAAGCAAAAATTAAGGAGGGCATATTTGTGGGTCCGCAAATAAGAGAAGTAATGAAAGATAAAACATTTGAGGAAATGCTCAATGAAACTGAACTACGAGCCTGGAGTGCTTTTAAAAGCGTTGTTGCAAATTTTCTTGGAAATGTGAAAGCAGACAATTACAAAGATCTTGTGACTGAACTACTTACTGCCTATAAAGAAATGGGTTGTAAAATTCACTTTCTGGACTCCCACCTGGATTTCTTCCCCGAAAATTTAGGGGCGGTAAGTGACGAACATGGGGAACGAAGAACCAAGACATTTCTGCTATGGAGAAACGCTACCAAGGCAAGTGAATTGCCAGTTTACTTGCCGATTACTGCTGGACATTGTTAAGGGATACTCCAAAAACAAAATATCGCCGAAAAACATCGACAGTAGCATTTTAAGGTACTCTTTGGTTAATAAAATAATATAACAATAATATATCTATCGCTGTTTTCTTAAAAAACAAAAATACCTCATAGCAAAAAACTATAGGTGATAGAAGAAATCTGTAGCTATTGTCTGCTTTTGTGGCAATTTTTACATAATAAATACTTTGTTTTGTTCATGTCACAAAAATAAGTGGATTTTGGTTTACCAGTTTAATTAATGTGACAAGCCTTCATGGCTCAGATCGCTAAGCGCTTTACTTTGGAGTTCGCGATCCTAAGTTTAATTCCCGATAAAAGCAATCTTTTTTCTTTTGTATTTTGAAAAAATCAAAAATGAAAAAATACCACTATTACTGTTTATTTATTTTATTTTAAAGACAATCCGTTAATATTTATGCTATTTTTTTATACTATTTTGAAAAAATGTAAGTAGGTAAAATGAGCAATTAAGAAATTTTTTATTATTAAAAATGATACCTTACAATTTTTTTCTCGAAATGGTGCAAAATAAATAGTGGAAAGATTAATAGATTGCCTAACTGTAGGGATTTTACTATAATAAATAAATTGTAATTAAAATAAATAAACAGCAATAATCCTATTTTTTACGATTTTTCCAAAATAAAAAAAGGTTGCTTTCATAAGGAATTAAACTAAGTTTGCAAAATCCAAAGTTAAGCGTTTAACGACCTGAGCCATGAAGAAATATGACAAGTTAATTATCTAGTAAAGCATTTTTACAATGGCTTTTTAAGACATCTTCTTGGAGTGTTCCACCACTGCAGACTGAAGCAAATTATTTCCATTTTCTAGAGGATAAAAATGAACGCAAAATGTTTAGTTTTGTCTTGCAAAAATAATACACCTTAATGTGACATTGGTTGCCCTATCATAATACAAAAAAAAAGATAATTAATAAATATAAAAGTAGCAACTCCAAAAAACTTATAAGACATGGTGTGGAGTGCAATGATATATGAAAATTATATTCAGTCAAGATTACGTATTTTTTTAAATAATTAAAAACAAGCCTTCCTCTAATTATTTTTAGGAAACTTATTCAATTAAATCAATATAACTTCCCCGAAGTAATAGCGAAAAATAGTTAACTCACTTCTTTATATATTTTTCAAATGCGTTTCCTTTCTTTAACACTACTACGCAAATCATTACTAATGAACATATTCGTTCGCCAGTTGATACTGCTGAGCGTCAACGATAACACTGGTATATCCAGCCGAATGCGCTTGTACGTTCAATGGTTTCAAATCGTGTCCATGCCAGTTCTGGCCTTGATTCTGATTATTATTAAAACAGTTAATACTGAAACTATGAGGCTCTGTGCAATAGTTATTGCTGTTGAGATTTTGGAGATGGAGCTCGCTTTCCGAAGAACTACAAGACGAAGAGGAAGCACTGAACGGTCGTTGCTGGGAAGCCCCTAGTACGTGCTGCTGACTGATTTCAGGATCGGAATAAGGGTAAAACATTTCTTGATGTTGGTAGTACGTATCTTCGTTATTAAAATGTAAAAACCCTGAAGAATATTCTAAATAGGAAATTCCTCCCCCGTTAGAATCACTAAAATCGTCTTCTGTTATCGATGACGTCTGAGGAGAAATGATATTGGAAGAAAGACGATGCTGATGAGATGGTGTATACTTTTGTGATGCTAGACTTCGAGGTGCGACAGTTATTGGTGATCTAGGCGAATTGGGTATATCATCTCTTGGTGCTCCTTGAACTACATTAAGAAGGAGATCTTTGGCTTCAAAATCACTGAAAGGAAAAATGTTTCCATTTAAATTATGGAATTACAGACCTAATATGACAAAGTAGAGAAATAATATTTAAAAGCAAATTAATTACCTTAAAACGTAATTCACTGATACGATACAGTGAGGTCTTGAAGATCTAGAATTATGTACAATAGTTGCATAACTTTGCATCCATACCCATCCCCCACCTTTGCACAGAAATCTGTAGTATTTTGTTGTGACTTGTCCTTTACATAACACTGAAAATAAAAACGAATATAATAGTTTGGTGTTTTTAAGGCAGAAATTTTGATAAATATTTGTTTTAATGAAAGAAAAACTTACATTGATGGTGCGATAATCTAAGTGCTAGAATATCACTTCCATGTACATAGTGATACAGAGTTTTTTCTATAAGATCCTGAGGTTCGTATCCAGTCAATTGGGCAACTCTGTAACAAAAAAAGGAACTATTGGTTTATCGATGGCAAAATCTACGTAAACAAGGACAGTAAAGTATGTATTATAAGGAACAGAAATGATTTTAATATTGTATTTACAGCTGAATGAATATTTACTATTAAATAAAAACCAAATTTAAAAAATAAAAAAAAATTATTTTCCTTCATTTTCTTTAAAAACCTAAAATTAAATTAATTTTAAATATAGCCGTTGATTCTTTGTATTCTTCTTTCTGAATTTTATTTATCATCAATATTTCTTTATTTCCTATTTTAAGTAAAAAAAAAAAATAAACAAACACGTAATTTCTACAAAATATTTAGGGTGCTCAAAAGTCATGATATGATAGAATTTTTGAACGTTTTAGACGACGAAGAGATTCAGTCGGAATGCGTTAATAATTTTGAAGACTTTATACAGGGAAGGGTAGACAAAAACAGATATGGACTGGGAGTTGTTCACTTTAATATTAGAAGCTTACAAAAACATTTTAATGGGCTACTGGTAAATGTTGAAATGGCTAAAAATATACTTGATATAATTATATTATCAGAAACAGGTAAAATAAAAAATATTCATGATTTTTCCATTCCTCAGTTTTCAATTCACTACTTTGAGGCAATATTTAACAAATGCGATGGTTCCATAATTTATGTAAGAAATAATATATCAGCGAATGTTAATATCGTACCTATAAATCTTATCTATATATCTATATAGCTTATCGCCTTCTATAGACTTCCGGCAACCGACTTAAATATGTATTTAGATAATTTAGAAACATACCTAAATTCTATAGAATATCAAAATCTACAAATATATGTAGATGATATAAACATCGATATACCTACTAAAAAAAGAAACTAACGAAACAAATAAATATTTAAATATAATGAATTCCAAAGGTTTTAAATCATATATAAATAAACCAACGAGAGTACAAAATGAGTCAAAAACTGCCATTGATCATATTTTTATTAGAACTCATAAAAACCTAATAAAAAACGCCGAACTTGAGCCAATTATATTTCACACAAATATGACAGATCACTATTCTCCTTCTATATTAATATCTTTTCCTACACAAAAAATGGGGAATTCCAATCAAAAAACAAAGTGACCATGATAAATTTTGATAATCTAAAGCATTGATTAAGCAGAGAAAATTGGAATGGTGTAATTAATACGACTGAACCACAAAAAGCATACGATTTATTTTTCAATAAGCTAAATCAATAAATTCAAAAATTCACCAAATCTACAATTAAAACAAAAAATATAATTAAACTAAAACCATGAATAATTCAACATTATTAAAAACTCCTATTTGTTATTTGAATAAAGTATTATTTTCGTAATTTGTGATTTTTCACTTTCTTCTTTACCATTTTCCACAGAGCCACCCCCGAGCGCCCCCGGGGAAATCTAATGCTAGAATTGAATTCGGCATCCTCGAAAACCCCCGAGTAACGAGTTTGGAGCGCTTCCCATGGACTATGCAATTTCCCCCCAGAATGACCCCTCGGATACCCCCGCAGAGCCGCCTCCGAGCGCCCCCGGGTAATTTCAATGCCAGAATTGAATTGGGCATCCCCGAAAACCTCCGAGTAACAAGTTTGGAGCGATTTTCATGCACGCTGCCATATCTTCCTAATTCACCCCCCGCGCACCCCCACAGAGCCACCTTCGTGGACCCCCGGATAATTCTAATGCCAGAATCGAGTTTGGCAGCCCTGAAAACCCCCCGAGTAACGATTTCCGAGCGATTTTTCTGAGTTTCCACTCGTTTCTATAATGGTGCAAGTAATGATGCAATTGGAAAATGCATTTTCCAGCCCAAAAGGCATTTTTTAAAAAATTGCTAAAACAGACGATATAGACTTTTTTCCTGGGACCTTCCTGAACACAATTCAGAAAACCGCATCTCGATATCTGGTGTCCCTAAAAATTTCTGCTATTTTTTCTTACTTCCCTGGACTATTAAATTTATAAAAGATAGATATATTAAAACTATCAGCTTTTTGTTTGTTATTGTTTATATATTCATTATTTACTGATTTTATAGATATGTTGGCAATATGTCTTTAATGATTTTTCATATTTTTTTATAATTGTTTCCTGCTTGAGCGATTTTATTTTGATAATAATCATTTTTGTTTTTTTTTATTAAGGAATGAAGTTTACTTCTACATTTTTACTTTCCTATCTGTATACAGATATAAGGAAAGTATAGGAATCATGATTTTTTTCGACCTCGAGTTTTCGACGGATTTTTACGTTTTGAGGTCCCCTGAATCCGTTTTGACTATTTTCGCGATGATGTCTGTGTGTGTGTGTGTGTGTCTGTGTGTGTGTCTGTATAACGCATAACTCATGAACCGATACACAGAAAAACACCAAATTTTAAACTTAAGCTTTGTTTCAGCGTCTAATGAGCTGATTAGATTTTGGGCAGAGTCGGAACATTTGGGGGGGTACTTTATAGGTGGTCATTTTTATATTTTATGAAATATATCTGTTATTTACGTTTAGAGAAGAAAATTCTTTAAATAAAAGTTACTTCTAATATTATTATCTATAATTTTTGTTCTATACAAAATTTTCCTAAAATGGTCCGTATTCGAGAAATTTGACAAAATGTAAAAAAAATATTTTTTTATAAAAATTGTTCAAATAAAAGTTGTTTGTAATATAATTCTCTATAATTTTTATTTTTTACATAATTTCTCTAAAATGGACCGTATTCGAGATATTTGAGAAAATGTGTAAATTTCGAATTTTGAAAAAAAACTCAAAAACGGATAAAGAAAAAAACATTAAATTTTAAACTTAAGGTTTATTTCGGCCTGACGTGAAATGATTAGATTTTGGTCAAAGTCGGAACATCTGGGGGGGTACTTTATGGGAGGCCGTTTTTATATTTTATGGAATATATCTGTTATTTATGTTTGGAGAGGAAAATTGATCAAATAAAAGTTACTTCTAATATTATTATCTGTAATTTTTGTTTCATGTAAAAATTTCCTGAAATGGTCCGTATTCGAGAAATTTGACAAAATGTGCAAAATTCTGATTTTTATTATGAAAGATTTTGAAATAAAAGTTGTTTGCGATATCGATCTCTATAATTTTTGTTTATACATGATTTTTCTAAAATGGACCGTAATGAAAAAATTGTAGGAAATTAAAATTTTTCATTATTTTCGTTTTCCATGAATATCTATAGAAAAATGTTTCGAGGTAGATGTATGTGGACAATGTATATATTTAGTTTAGCCTCTAAACATTTATATAACTAGATAGGAAAGTCATGTGTTGGACACATCAGATTTTTTTGTACTGGTTTTCGTTCCAAAGTGTTTTTTTGCGAGTTTCATTTTTAGACGTTTCTTTTTTTATTGAAAATATTAAACCTATTGTTATCAAGGGTTTTAGTTTAGTTATATTTTTTGTTTTGATGAAAGAAATTTTAATGTTAAATAAAATTTACATAGAAGAATACAAAGAATCAAAGAATACATTTAGAATTAATTTTATTTTAAGTATATAAACAAGATGACACAAAATAAATATTTTTTTTTATTATTTTCATTGTTTTAGTTTTTTAAAATCTTTTCTGTTCCTTATAATAGATATTTTAGTGTCCTTTATTAGTAAAATTCAAGAATTCCAATCTTTCTGATAATTAACTTTAAAATAGTTGTTATTTAATCACTAAATTTTTAAAATTTTTGTAGATTTGCGTTAGTGGCTCGTAGAAAAAATATACTGTAAAACTCGAGTGGATTGTCCATGTTGACTTCAATACCTATTTTTATATTTTTAAATGCGCCCACCGTTCTATATACAGGTTGATTCAAAATTATTATTCTTCTAAACCCTTTCTAAATCACTAAACTGATTACACCTCAGAACAGTAATTTTACAGATATGTCTATAATTTATTGCTAAAATGAATATTATTTTCAATAAATTTAAGGATATGTTTAGGGTGGCTTGTATCAAATGACCACTTTAGAATTGATGATGGTGGTGTATTTAAACAAGAGCTTTTTTAATTTATAAAGGGACAATAGGAATTCGATACTATTATACGGTTTTTGGTTTCATACTAGCAAATTGCGATATGAGAACCAAACATCTGTACGTTGAGAAGCGAGTTACACTGAAATAAAAGTTTAAAAAAACCTTTTTAACCCGTATTACAATTATAATTTTCGATTTTGACAAATAAGAAAAGTTCTTATTTTACTTACCTAGCATCTAGAAAAATTAGTTTTAAATCCAAGCTCGCTCTAAACATGAACATATTTGTGTGCAATTTTATTTCTGTGATAGAACTTGGTGGTAAAGAATGGCCTACTGCGACAAGGCCCATAATTTGACAGTAACTTGAATCGTAGAGGCCTGAAGCTGATGTCAATGGCTTCACTTTTAGGTATCCCGAGCAATGTATCACCTGAAATAAAAAAAGATAAAAAATAAAAAAGATCAAATGAAATACTATTAATATTAATAAAGTTTTGTTAAAGTGCAAAGGTTTGAAATCTGTCATTCAGTAGCGTAATTTGACAAAGGGGTCTCGGTGCAAAATAAATTTCGATGACTGCTAGGTTAAAAAAAAAATGCATAATATATATGTAATATAGGAAAAAAAAATAACAAAAAATAATAAAAAAATAAGGAAGTTCAATAAAAAACTAAAAATAAATTTAATTTTAACACTGTTTTTCCTACAATAGCGATGGAAAACAGTAAAAAAAGGTACAAAATAACCATTTCTGTTAATGGAAAGACACTGATTCACAAATATATAAATAAATCAGTGTCACCAAACTAAATTTTAAAATTAATTTGTCAGCTATTCAAAAACACAACTACCTATTTCCAGTCTAGCTTCCAGTAAATTAACAAGTAAATTAATATGATGAAGATATAACGAAATATTTCTTGACTACAATACTTGATATCACAATGATACTCCAGAGTATCAGAGACCATAGAAGGTATTATGTAATGTAAAAATAATGAAGTCTGCATATGCATGCACGTTTCTCCATTTCGCTCCACATATATGCATTTTTTAAATCATACGAGTAAATATAATTACATTTCTTGTCTCTTCTTTGATGTGGGAGATGAAAGGCAATTTACCAACTTGAATAGAGTGTAATAGGTAATTTTGTAGAGGCAAAATGATAATTTTTGTAAATTATTTAAATTGGAACCTAGTTAGCGATGTACATAACTTTCGAGCAAAAAAGTCAGTGGCGCATCAAGATTTTAAGTTTGGGGGGTGATAGTGGTAATCAGGGCCACTGAGAGTCATGGTGGCGCCTCGTGGCATATTTTGAGATAGGATTTTTAAAGTAATTTGGCTATGGGTTCTCTTGTCCAAAATAATTTGGGAATCCCTGTACTAGATCCTTCGATAAATTACAAATTCTGGTGGACTCAAAAGTCTAGGAAATTGTCAATTCTTAGTCGAAATACGTCTAGAATCTTCGAGAATATGTCTGGAGCACCACATTTTTATATAAATAGCCCAAGTTTGCTGTTATAGTTCAGTTTTAGTTAAGATATTGTGTTGTTAAGATAAATATCAATATAAATTAGTGTATTAGTAAAGAGGATATAAATTAGTGTTGTGTTGAGTATATAATCAAGAAGCGTTTTTAGTGAAAATAAATTAAATAAACTGTAACGTTTGTTTAGTCTCTTTTTGAGTTGTTCAAAGTTATCGGTCTCTTGTACAGGTATAGTTTGAAAGACATCCAAAACGTCTCCTCGAAGGGCGATTGTCAGATTCACTGCCTTTTCTCTCTTAGGCCATAAGTTTGCTCTCGCAGCTGTCTCGAACTGTTTATGACATTTTTCTGTCGAAAGTTGGGACTTTAACACGAAGAGAGTTTTAACTTCGACTCCACCTCATGGCACTTTATTTCACCGCCCTTGGTCGGTTCTGAATGCTCCAGTTCGTCTATTTTCTTTTCCACTTCCTTTAATTTCTCCTCTACAGAAGACATCTTGTTTTCCACATCAGCAGAGATTTCATTTTTTAGTGAAAACATATCAGAAGAAATTTCATCTTGCAATGAACAGATTTTGTTTCAGAAGACGGTTACTTCTAAGGAAGAAATGTCAGACGAAATTTTACTTTCTATGGAGGAAATATCTGAAGCAACTTTAGTTTCTAATGAAAAAATGTCTGAAGAAATATCGGTTTTCATGAAAGACATTTAACTTTCCAAAGAAGAAATTATAGAAGACGCATCATCAAAAAATATCATCACCATCTTTTTCTAGTGTTTCTTTAAGTCTCTCTGCCAGCTCTGCTTTCTTTCCTGTCGTCTCCAGCTCACGATCTTTTAATTCCCAAAATAACTCAGCCACTTTTAAATCACACAGTTTTTAGCCATTTTAGTCCACTATTTATTTACAATCCCACTTCTGACACCAATGTAATGTTTGTTTAATTTATGACTTCATACCGCGGGCAAGGAATAAACAAAGCACAGGGTAGGCTTTTGCGCGACATAAACTGGTAAAATAAATAAATATTGCAGTATGTTGGATGAATTTTCCGTTATTTAAGATTATAGAACACATATTACGAGTTCAATAGCTCGCTTATCTACAGTGTGACAAATTTACATTAGTATTCATGGGTAGTATATTTTTAAAGCGAGATAACATTTTGTCATTCTAATTTCTAACCATATATCCCAGCACCATCCATCAGTTATGTTCGTATTAAAAACTTTTGTCGACAATACAAAGAGGTTCACTTAGTAAGCTTTTGTTGAAGTCACGATCGCGCTCTTCTGAATTCATTTGCTGGATTAAAGTATGAACAACTTTTACGATTTACGAACGATTTATTTTATATTAGACAAAGAAGCAGAAGTAATTAAAGCGAACAATACCGATAGCGATAAGTTGGATAGTTTGATTTGTTTCAAAGAATTCAGTAGAAAATGAACAAACCAATAAAATTTGTATTTTTTTTTTTTCAATTTTAAAAAGCTAATCGGATAGTTTAAGGTAACTTTACAATTTTTCTGGTTTCAAATTGTTAACAATTCAATATTATAAATACAATATTCCCCTTTTTTTATGCTTTGTTTTACTATTAATAATCCCACACCTAGTTATTAAGTTTTCTGTCTAAACTCTTCAACTTTATCATCTATTGAACTAGGTTCATTTATGTTAGTGCATCTGTGTGTTATACATAGGCATGTATATTGTCATCTTTATTAACACTTGTCAACTCTTTATTGGCTTGAAAATGGCTGTATAGCTAGCTGAAACTGGTCTCCTTGAATAATACTGTTACGCAGCACCCTACAGCGTGCTGCGGTCGTCATAAGTAAAGAAAAATCCGGATTATTCAAGAAGGTTCTAGAAGGTTGAGAAAATTGAATATCGCAGTTATTATAAAACAGAGTTACTACGCATGAAATGTACTAACATTTGCCAGACGATCAAAGTCGAACCCTTTTCGGGTTTAAAGTAATCACTACGCCAATTTGCAAAATTTCAATCCAAGGTAACTTGATTATTTTAAATGGGACTACCAATTTTTTTTCATTTCATTACATGCAGAATTCGATTACCTTTCTAATGATATACAAATATGTTGATTTTTATCTTTTACAGATTTCTTTTTATTTAAAAAATTCTATTAATTCACAGAATTTTTTAATTTTTCTAATCTCTTTGAAATTAGTAGATTGTTAAAAATTACATATAGCAATTTCAATTAAAAAACAGTTAATAAGTTAAAAAAAACAAAAAAAAAAAAAAGAAATAACACCACAATCAAAATAAAAAAGCATTATTTTAATAAATGTTCAAAATGTCTACCACCCTGTTCTAAACAAACTTGGATTCTTCGACGAAAAGAAATTTTAATCCTATCCAATATTTCTGGGTTAATTTCTTCAAAAGCGTTTCTAATCCTGTTTTTCATGTTTTCAGATGTGGTTGGTTGTTCCGCATATACTTTTTCTTTGATATAACCCCATACAAAAATCCATTGGAATAATATCTGGAGATCTAGCTGACCATCGCAATGGTCCATTCCTTGAAATCCACCTTTTATTAAATGTATTGTTGAGCCATGCGCTTACAACAAAAGGGCACGATGTGGAGGTGCTCCATCTTGTTGAAAGTACATAATATCTTTAATTTGAGCAAGTGGTACATCTTCAAGGAGACCAAATAAAAAATAAATGGTTATTTAAAAAATTTAAATAAGTTTCTGAATTTAAAACACCATCAAAAAAGAAAGGACCAATAACATAAGTGTCTATTATGCCTGCCCAAACATTAACCGACCATTTCTCCTGACTATTGACTCTGAAATAGTGAGGGTTTTCATCTGAATAATAATGAAAATTGTGCCGATTAATATAACCATTTCGGTGAAAGGTACAATCATCTGTAAACAATTTTTTTTTTTAAATATTCATTTTCATTTAATTTTTCGTCTGCCCAATTGCAAAAATTTATCCGATTTTTGAGCTCTTAGTGAAGTTGAATATGATAAGGATGGAATTTATTTTTATTTATTATTCTTCTGATGGAGGTTCGGCTTATTTAAAAATCTCTTTAAAGTTGGCGAGTACTAGTATGAGGGTTTTCTACCACTGCAGTTAAAATATGACTTTCATTTTATTCATTTACAACAAATTTAGTTCTTTCTTATTTTTGGATATAAGAAACATTTCCTGTTGCAATAAATAGTCCGGTCAATTTAGACGTCCGAGGGTACAAAAATTCCCACCCAGCTGAAAATTGGTAGGATTGTTCAAAACACCATTATAAATGAAACCTAAAAAGTCCTCATCAATCCGGCACCTGGAAAAAAATTTACTCGGGGTCAAAGGTCACAAAAACGGATTTTTCGCGATTTTCAGCAGTTTTTCCTAATTTAAAAAAAATTGAAAAACTGCTACATCTTTTTTTTCTTTTTTTCGGAAAGATCACATCAAAATACACAAGGTCCTTTTTGTTTCATCCAATTACAAATTAATGTAAGCTCGAAGGGGCTTTTTTTCGTTATTTAATTGGACTATATGTGCCATTATTATCACTGTAAAAGATAAATATCAACATATTTTTATATCATTAGAAAGGTAGTCGAATTCTGCGTGTAATGAAATGAAAAAAATTTGGTAATTTCATTTAAAAAAATCAAGTTACCTTGGATTGAAATTTTGCAAATTGGCGTAGCGATTACTTTAAACACGAAAAGGCTTTGACTTTGATCGTCTGGCAAATGTTAGTACATTTCATACTTAGCAACACTGTAGAGTCACAGACTTCTAAGTTTTATAATAACTGCGATATTCAATTTTTACTAGACATCTACTTTTTGAGAAAATAATGAATTGCTGCTTAATGACTCATTTTAGATACCATGTGTGATACATAAAGTCACACTAAAATTGACCGAGCTATCCAAATATGCAATAATATACAGTGGGTTCCTATTAAACAAACATAACTTTGATATAAATCACCCTGTAGAACAATTGGAATTTCATCGAAAATATTTTTAGGTTGTAGCCTTAGAGGTCCTACACCATGCCCCAAAAATGAATTTTAGAAATGTACCTTAATAAACCCGCAATCTTCCACCCACGCACTAATAGCCCACCCTGTAGTCAACGACCTGACGTCCGAGTTCAGTTTTATGATAGACGTTATACGTTAATGTTATCAGTTGTATAGTTATTGTAAAAGTTGAGTTGAAATAAATTGAGATACCAAAAACCTGCGTAATAATACATTTTATATATCGGATAAAATTATAGTTTTATTTTCTTATTGAAGCTAGCCATATTTGAGAGGTTGGATACCCTTTTCAATTTAAAATGTTTAATATTTACCTTGTAACCACTATTCGTCAAACCAGCATTTCGTTTCGCTAGAACGCACTTCATCCTCAGGAAAAAGGCTCGTTCGCTTTCGTGTTCGTGGAGAGGTGCTATCCCTGGGGGGTACATGGTGGGAGCTAGTACAGCTGTCATTTCGTCGTGGTCTGCAGGATGGATGTATTCGTATATGCTGTTTCCTGTCAGCTCTACCTGGGAAAAAGGACGTGCAGAAATTCCAAAAATAGAAAATTATATCAATCAATCAAATCAAATTTATTTGTTTAAATATTAAAGTACATTACCTAATAGTAAAAAAATAGTTATACAGAAAAAAAAAATTTTTAAAGACATCTGATTGAGCATGGAACCTAGGCATTTCTGCCTGTTTTGCTTCTGATCAATCAGATGACTCTATTTATGTACATATTTTTTTTAGAGACAGGTATTAAATTTTACATATAATTATTTATTACTTAACAAAAGATACAATATTTAAAAATTAGAACAAGGGACGAAGAAATTCGACAGAATAAACCGATAAATAAAAAGATAAATAAACAAGAGACAGTACCTTAGGAAAAGTAGACAAAAACTACGATGGTCCTTTTGGCTTTTAATATGTTTTTTATTTATAATATGTTATCATTAGATCGTAAATTTTTTTTTTGTTTGTTATTAAATATTTTTTTATTTCAATTTTAAACTTTTTTGTTTTGATTATTTGCCTGAGGTGTATCGGAATTATGTTAAAAAATTATGTTAAAAAATATCAAGGTTGGTGATCCTAGAATTTTTGTTTTTTTGTTTGTGGCAGGATATTTGCTAATTTTTATTTTATTAAGAAATGAACGATTTGCCAAAAATAATTACTGTCTTGGAAATTTATTTTATAAAGAGATTGTGAAATGATTATGAAAAAATAAAGCATTATTCACTAAAAGTTTTCGTCCTTTAAATGTATTTGTGAGTGTGAGGTTAGTTGTTATAAGACAAAATGATGGGAAACTAAGAACGAATTGGTATAACAAACCCACCAATTCAGGGAGGATTCTGAACTATTTCTCAAACCATCCAGTGCAACATAAAATAGGTACAATTAAAAATTTACTATTTAGGTCTTACCATCTGAGTAGCCCAGAATTCTACACATCAAACGAAGAAAAAATTAGGAATAATTTAAAACTTAACAACTACCCATTGAGTCTTATAAACAGAGTAATCAATGAATACAAAACTAATTTGCAGTTAAAACAGTTGAGTCAAATCCAAGAAAAGAAAGTGTATTTTCGATTTCCATTTATACAGGGACTGTCCCAGAAAATTAAAAGATGTTTTGAAATTGCAAAGGGATGTGAAAACGCAATGTTAGTGTTTTACCCTATTAACCAGTGTAGATCCTTATTTTCAAATTTAAAAGATGAAACGCCCGATCAATTAAAATCCAATGTAGTGTACAAAATTAACTGTGAAGGCTGTGAAAAATGCTACATTGGTATTACAAAACAATATCTTGAAAACAGAATATACCAACACAAATATGACTGACGGGGAAAAAAATGAAAATAAGGTAGAAGAGACCGCATTAGCTTTACATAATTTTAATTAATCGCACAAATTTGACTTTGACAACGTTAAAATTGTTGATAAAGAATCTAACTATTATAAAAGAACAATTAGTGAACTGATACACATATCTCTAAACGACACAGTAAATTTAAAAACGGATACTGCCAATTTAAGTATTTGTTATCGCAACCTACTCAATGTATACAAGTCTAAAATTGAACCGGACTAAAACAATAAGCCGTTAAAATACTAACTATACCTATCGTACTATTAAATAAAAAAAACATACAAATGAATTTCTTCGTCCACCTACAATTTTAACTGCCACAATATTTTGATTAATTTTATCATCATTTTAAGATATCTGTGTGTAAATGTTACTTTTACTATTTTATTTATGTATTGTTCTGTTTTAACTGTTGCAAATTCCATATATGCCATGTGCCTTGCATTAATTAATTTAATAAGGTAAGGTTTTTAGTTTTTATTTCTCCTTGTTTTTATATTTATATTGATTTGTTAATTCTCTCATGCTAACAATTATTGTTTTATGGAAATAACAATAACCATTTACGTTGTATACCTATATACCATTTATAATATTGACACCTATGTAAATCTCATAGTTTTTACAATTTTTTATTAAAACCTTTTATGTATTTTCAGACTTGAAAAAGACGAAAAATAAACGTCCTCTTCCCACTAACCTCACACTCACAAAAAATAAAGCGAAATATTTCCTATTCAATGACATGTTTCAGCAATATGCTACTATGTTACACATTCCTGACATTCTTTTACTGACAGTTGTTGGCGGATTCTACTATAGTAAAGATTTTATTTTGTGTGTTCACTGGTTTTGACGTTGATTATCGCAAAATATTTCTATGAATTTGCTCTCTTTTAATGTTCATATAGGTATGTTTTTGATTAGTAGTTGGCTTTTTCGGATTTTACCTGTGATAATCCTAAATGCACCGATGCCGTTTCTGATATGTACATAATTTTTCCATCGTGTGCTACTACGAAAATGAATCCATCCAAAGTTTGTAAAAGGTACGATCCTAATTCTTTAATCGGTGTTTCCCTGGTGTTCGGAATGATTGGTGTCGCTCCCCATGCGTCCCCCAAACCTGTAACAGAAAGAAGAAAAAATATATACCAACACAGTTTAGTGAAAGTTTGACAGGCGATAGATGGCAAATTGATGAAAACTTAAGTAGGAATCTTCAAAAAAAAAACGCAAAGTATAATTTATAACCACCATAACGTAACTTAACTTAACGCCGTAGAAACTTAACCTAAGATATAAAAATAAAGTCTATTTATAAATATCCGTAACGTAAGAGTTGAGCATGCGTGTTGTATTTTAGAGATTATCAAATTACTGACAACCTTATGAAATAAACAAGTGTAAACTATGTACCTAACCTCTAAATAAAACTTATAAATTATAATTTTGCTATGTAGAAAGAATATATTAACTATACTTTAAAAGCAATAATATAAAAATATAATAAAACAGAATAGTTTACCGAAGATGTTGATTGTTTTTAAGCAATAATGAGAATTTAATCTTTTCTAGCAAACTAGTTTTGTGTCTTAATTCAATTCTAGACTTGATGTTTATAGGTATATGCAGCAACACTTATATCTCATAAATAGTTTATCCCCAATAAAATAAACACAAATCATTCATGATAATGTATGTCCATAAAAAAGGAGAATGATAGTTTACAAATGGTATTTGTCCATTATATCTATTCATTTTTTTTTTTTTTTTTTTTTTTTTTTTTTGGCTTAGGCAGAGACCAATTAGCCAGACTTTTTTTTTTACTTAAAATGTATTTATTTACGTGATAACTTGTACCGTTTTTGTTCAATTGGATACAATGGTTGGTTTAAGTGGTTAGTATAACTGTGTGTAATTATTATTATTTTTTTTATTTACTTGTTTTTTTTTTATTTAGATGTTTTTTTTGTATGTGTTTTTTATTTACATGTTTTTTTTGTATGTGTTTTTTATTTACGTTTTTTTTTAATTTTTTTTTAATTTTTTTTTTGTTTATATATTTTTTTTTTTCGTCTACACACTTACATATTTAATTATTTGTCAAAATTGCTCACACATATTATGTTAGTAGTTTACAATTTCATTTTACAGCGTATTACATGTTTGTATAGGTACGAATAAATATCCAAATTGTTCGAGAATATTATCTCGTTAAGATTTATCGGTAAATTTAAATTATTTCTGATTAAGTCTCTATATAATTTATCAATGCTGTCTCTGTGGATATTACACTCCAAAATCATATGTTTGAGATCTACTGTCTTGCCACATCTACAAAGCTGGTTTTCCGATATGCCAAACCTGAATTGATATCTATTCATTTATAAAAAAAAAAAATAAAAAGAGAATAATTGACAGTTATCACATGCTGAACTGAGAATTATCTCATTGGCTAACCGTAAGGTCTTAAGTTAAATATTGAATTTAGTACCACTCCTACTATGATCCATTTGAAAAATCTACAGAATAAGGATAATTTTTATAAAAAATTAACACTTTAACTGCCATATGTATTGTATGGATTTAAATGTATAGATCTATTAGTCTGACGAGATACGTTATGTCTTAAATGTTTTGGTATTTTAGACTTTTAGGTACATGTAAGCCTGTTTTCTTATAAATACACGGGTTTATAGTTGATCATTATTAAAATTTTGAGCCATGTGTGCCATACCCGGCAAGTATATTTAAAAAAAACTTCCATAAAATAGACTCCATATTATAATGTGAGCCATTTCATTATTCAGTTATGCTCTAATTCTCCAAGTACCTATCTGTCTTATTTGGCCTTTGAGGCTCAACTTGTCCGATTATCATACATAATTAAACTCCTAAAGACGAAACATATGTGACGACTATGGCGGAGGAGCTTTCGAAGGCTATTCGAGAAAGAACGGGATAATGTTTCTAGTGTATTGGTGAGAATAAGTGAACTTTATAGCACCTTCGCCAAACTTTTAAATTTGTATATAAATATTGGTGAAGGATCAAGTGGGAGTCAGTTATATAAGGACAGTGAAGATAAATAGTGAACAGTTTAAAGACTTTCAAAATATATATAAATTCGAATAGTAGTGTTATAAAGTAAATAAGTGTTTAAATAAATTATTAATAAACAAACTCAAATGATTAAAGGGGAAAATTGGCTGTCTCAACCAATTAAAAAAAGAAACTTGTCTCGCAACTTGTCCACTAATAAATACGGGAGTTTTTTTTAATGTGAATCTTCCTATTCCCCTTGGTAAAATGTGGTGGGACCCCTTCTTTCCCTCACTTGAGATTTACCCTATGACTTTTAAATAATTAAATTTATCTGATATATTCATGTATTTTACTCCATACCACTATATACTTAAGCATTAATTCTTCTATGTAATACATTTTTTCTGGAAAATACGAGATATACTGAGTCAAAGTATCTTTTATAAAATCCATTTTTTATTAGACGTATTACTTCAATAATTTCGAGGGAATAAGATTAAATTTAAAAGAACTATGCATCATTCTTTTTCTTGTATGATGGACAGTCTATCTATATAAAAACCTTGAAGCTTTTGTAGGTAACTGTCACTTTAATGAATACCTACCTTTTTTTTTTTTCTAATCTATTCATCTCTTCACACCGCGCACCGTTTCAACACCACATTATAGAGATCCTATCTAAGTATTTTATAAATAGAAATGTAAATATTAAATTAATATTCGTTCCCGAATAACTTGATTCATCCTGAATATTGTGAAAACAATATTAATTAACATATGAATGACTGTTTAGAATTGTTGATTTTATTGCTTATACATATAGATACATTATTAAACCTTAGAATCGGATGTACCTAATAAGAACGAAAAAAGGTGGCAAAAAATGCTTGAAATCCGTTTCGGCGACATGAATGTAGAAATTAAATGAAATTGTTACCATCAATCAAACTTGCTGTAGTTAAATATTTATAAAAATATATTGAAGGAATCATTGAATAATAATTTTTTATGTACCAAGGGCGTAATATAGACGCTATAATACCCGGATGGCGACAGAATACATTTAAAGATCCTTTGGCCGAGGGATGGATGTTGCTAATAATTATCTGCACTTATTAAGCAATGAAATACGAGGTGATAGAAAGTGTTGGAAATAGATCCAACATATTGCAAGTAATAATCAAACAAGTAACTCTTCAGTAATAATCAAACAAACTAAAATAGCCGGACACTGTCTTATAAAGGATCAGAGTATTACGGTTCGCAACATTGACAAATCAGCGCTCTTTCACGCCTGCACAGAAGAGAAATACATTGAAAATAAAGAAAGTTACAATTATACGACCAATCAAAGAGCGACGCCTTTGATAGTTCACAAATTGGTACCAGAATTTTGGTTTAGACCGTGGAGGCACATAAAGTACGAGCATTTATATATCTTTAAATTAATATCGTAATAAAATATTACTTATAGAATACAAACATGTTTCCAATAAAAATATTCTTAAATTATTAAAAATTATAGCGTTTTTAGAAATGAAAATATGACTTACCATCGGGAAACACCTGCCTCATTTTTAGATACGAGGTAGTCAGTCTGATTACTGATGCTTTGTCTAGTTGTGATGTGATCGCCGCAGGAAGTGGCAATAGTTTTGCTAATTCCAAAAATTCAGCGTTTTCTTTTTCTCTTCTACTTCGTGCTGCATTTTTGCTTTTTTCCTTCATGGCACCTTTAGTGCCAAGTGTCGCTACTGAAACAAAGAAGAAAACAATAAAAAAAGTGTTACTAATTATTTAGAATTCAGAAAATGACTCGAACATAAAGAAATTAGTAAGTTTGATGCATTTATTATTATACTCTTTACACAGTAGTCTGTGAAGAGTATTATAGGTTTACTTTCAAGAAACCAACATTTTTAATATTGTTCCAAATTTAAAAAAACAATTATAGGAAATAAAATCATTCTCATCAAATTTTAAACAACTTGTCACGTTTTTTGTCCATATTATAAGTCAAAAACGAAACATGATATGAACTTAAAATTTTCAGGAAAAATCAATCTCTATAAGGGTACGAACCCTATTAATTTTGAAAAAAATCTTATTAAAAATGGAGAGGTTAACGGGGAGATTGAAACTTAAAAAAAATCATAAAACAAAACGAAAAATATCAACAATTTTCAGGAAAATCAAGCTCTACAATGTAACGAATTTTTAAAAAAATCTGTATAAAATGGGGGGTTAAGGAGGTTAAAATTTAAAAAAGTTCATAAATCAAAAACGAAGAACAATATCACCTTGAAATTTTCAGGAAAATCAAGCTCTACAATCGGATGAATCCCATTGATTTAAAAAAAATCTCGATTAAAAATGGGCGATTAAGGGGGGTTAAAACTTTAAAAAAAAATCATAAAACAAAAACTAAAAACAATACCAACTTGAAATTTTTAGGAAAATAGGGTTCAGGGGGGTTTATACTTAAAAAAAATCATAAATAAACAACGGAAAGCGATATCAACATGACATTTTTATTTAAAACCAAGCTTAAAAAATTAAAGGGATAAATCTTATTGATTTTGAAAAATCTTATTAAAAATGGAGGGGTTAAGGGGGATTAAAATATTAAAATAAAGTCCTAACTCAGAAACAAAAAACGATATCAAATTGAAATAAGGAAAAAATAATTTTCATAAGAGGACGAAGCCAACGAATTCTAAAAAAAATCTGATTAAAAATGGGGGGGTTAAAATGGGGTAACTGTGTATAGAAGTCATTAAAATAAACATATTTTTTTAAAAAACTCAAAATAAAAAATGTACAGAATTAAAAATTATAAATCCGTACCTAAATTTGTGTATCAAAAATTAGGCGCTATGTTTTTCTGTTTTTCTTATGCATGAATCAAGCTCCAGCTATTATTGTAATTTAGTCGTCTGTGATTTTAATAGCGTGATTTCAATAACTTTACCTCGCGAACCTTTCATAGTCCCAGAACTTTTGTTAATCTAATTCAACGGGCTATAGGGATACCGATAATTTGCGGGAACATCCTGGAGGACATCTAGGATGACCGATACGAGAAGACACGAAATGCGTTTGTGTTAAAATGTGTTCGTGTTGAGGTGAATGGATTGGATACATTTTGGAATAAATTAATGTAATTTTCTTATTTTTTACAATTTTTTAAAAAAGTTGTACGAAAAAGTTGGTTATTTTAACTTAGGATTAAACCTGTGTGCATCATTACAGTACTGAAGAGCAAAAACAATATTAAAGAGAACAATGATGTATACACTAAATTTGAGGTGAAGACTGAAAGAAATACATCTGTTACATCAGTGTGTAAAAAATGAATTTTTTTTTATTGAAAATTAGGCTGGGCATTTTCAGCTTTACGAAGCCATTATTTGTTTATTTATTGCAATACACTACAGATACAATCTAATTGGTACATGGCAACAGCAAAAGATAGCATAGACAAACCGTAGATAATGTCTAGTGAGACTGGCAGGAATATTTTTATATCATCTGCATATATGAGAAACTGTAAATACTTAAACAAAAAGAAATGTCGTTAATAAATAATATTAATAACACAGGACCAAGATGCAAACCCTGCGGAACACCCGAGGTAACAAACACTGACCCGCAAATTTTAAGACGTTGTCGTCGATACGTAAGGTAGGACTTAATCCTGAGATAACTTCCTGATGTTATAATATCGGCGAGTTCCTTAATCAAAAGAGAATGACAGACTCTATCGGAAACTTTAGACAGATCTGCATAAATCTATTTGATTTCCCCCTTCAATACAGAAAGTAAGAAATTCCTGGAAGATTGCAAGATTTGTAGCTATTGATCTGCCGCTATATAATCTATGTTGATTGGGAATAATATAGTGTTTACAACAGTTAAAGATTTCATCTCTCAGTATGGATTCATAAACTTTCGGAATTGCGGAGAGTATAGTTCCCAACGTTAGTTTGTTTGGGAAATAACCTCTATTAAATGACCTTTGGAAAACGGTATGCAGAGGATTTACTAAAGAAGGACAATTTATGAGTAATATCGGTGGAATTCCATCAGGTCCGGCTCCTTTTGAAGAATCAAGTTTCACAAGCTTACTCTAATCTCTTCCTCGGTAAAAGTGTAGGAAGGCAGATTAGAAAAAACTTAAGAGGTATTCTGTGCTCATTGCTGACAGAATCATAGTTCTGATAACATGACTGAAAATGAAATGCAAATGCATCCACGATAGACGCAGGATTGTCGAATATATCATTTCCAAATTTTATAAGTTTTTTGATAAAAGACCAAAAGTATTTTATATTCTCCGGAATCAGATGCTCCATATTACTAAAAAAAAGCGAGGTAGCAAAGGTCCATACGGTATTTCTTTGCGAATGATGGCGTATCATAGCCATTATCTAGTAGGTACCTACCTCCACCGGAAGTCTTATAAAATAAAAAAATATTTGGACGAGGTATCTACAAGAAAATCCAAAAAGGTTAATTTTAATTAACAAAGCAGTTAAATCATATTAATATTAATATAATTTATTAAAAGATTATCACCTGCAAATCTTGTTTTCGATATTTAAAGATAAAATTAAATCAGAAACGCCAATTCCAAAATGATTTAGTGGTACTAAGCAATTTAGTTAGGAGGCTGAAACGTAATTAATGCTATTCTATATGGCCGATGCCAATTTTTGGTCCAAGGGCTAGCTTTATAAAAGTTACTTTAAAAACAAATAATAAAAGTATTTTGAACTTTTTCTCTCATTTGGATTTATTAAAAATCGTCTTTGTTATATATTTTATTTAGTAACTCCAAGTCAGAAGAAATTAAACCTTTCTAACGTTTTTAGCTGAATTAATTTAAATTGAAAGTTTTTGCGTTCGTATAAATGTCTTAATAAACATAATTGACATACGTATGTTTAGCATAATATTCATTATTCTCTATAATTTTTGTCACACATATAATTTTCTTAAAATGGCCCGTATTCGAGAAATTTAACAAAATGTAAAAAATTCAAATTTTTATGAAAATTGTTCAAATAAAAGTGGACCGTATTCAAGATATTTGTGAAAAAAGTAAATTTTGAATTTTAAAGAAAACTCAAAAGTGGATAAAGAGAAAAACACAAAATTTTAAATTTAAGTTTCAGTCCATTCTCTGGTAAAATGATTAAATTTTTGTGTCCTTATGCTTGGAGAAGAAAATTTTTGTTTTATACATAATTTTTCTAAAATGAACCGTAATAAAAAAATGTGAGGAAATATGTAATATTTTAATTTTTTAGTATTTTTGTTGGCAATGAATATATATAAAAAAGTGTTTCGGGTAAGATGTGTGTGGAAAATGTCTGTATTTAGTTCATCTTTTAAACATTTACAGGGGTGATACAATAGGTTGTACAAAATAACCGAAAAAAGCCTGCAATAACTAGACAGAAAAGTCATGTGTTGGACACCCACATGGATATTAGCTTATCTACGTACAGATTACAAAATTAAAAAGTATGCTATTGCCTTCAACTAAACGAATATATTTCATATCCATTTTAGGTAGTGAAAACATTGCAGAAATCCATCAATCACAGTTCATATTTCGATCAACCGACTGCTATTATTTTTAAATAAGTGACAATTCTGTCAAACTAATTGTCAGTATATTTTTTAGTTATTGAGATTAACCACACAATAAAATGAGTTATTCTTGTGTAGAATCGATAAATAATAGAATCTATATTTTTATTTCATCTATAATTATAAATTATTTGCTAATTTAAATAAAACTATATGAAGTCAATTTAATTACGAGTATTAAAGCAAAAAAATAAACGCGTAGAGATGGTCCTGTGGTCAGGGTTCTTGCCTTCTATGCAGAAGATTTGAGTTCAAATCTCAGACGGAGAAAAATTAAATGAATTTTTTTCTTGTTAATTTTATATTATAAATTAATAAAAGTCATAAATTAGTTTTAAATTTATTATTTTATCTTAACCTAAAATAATTTTTAATATTTGTAGAAAAAATATACTGTACAACTCGAGTGGACTGTCCATATCCACTCTTGTTGCACAAACTACTATTTTATAGTAGTTTTCATATTAATTTTTATATTAGTTTTTGGTTTAATTTTTATATTATTTTTTTTTATATTATTAAAATATTTTTTTAATTAATTGGTAATTGTAGTCTATCGTTTGAGTTTTCTTTGTGAAGGGAACTTTGGTTATTTTTTTGGTATAACTGTTTTAAATTATTACAATTGTGATTGTTTTATTGCCAATTATTGTTAAAGTTTAGACACCTCAGTAGGTCGAAACAGCATCATGTGATATGTGGATTATATTCTCTTAAAAATAGCACAATAGAAACAATGTCAAATTATAAACTTTTTTACTCGATTTTGAATTTTACAAGTGACCTGAGTGTTTAAAAAAACACAAAAATCGAATACACATATAAGGATAGGTACCTGTAAATATGTGAAAACATTTTTAATAACAAGGTATATAATACATACTTTCAGTATGCAGTTTGAGCAGCATGTAGTTTGATACCCTTCTTCATTCATTATTATTGAATTAATTTTTTGAGATTTAAAATATTTATCCCTCATGTTTTATGGATAAGATTTTTCATTTTATCATTCTTGTAAATACTAGAGGACTGTTACTAATTCAAGGACCTCTTACAAATCCTCTTGTACTCTTAATTAAGAAGAAAACGAATAAAT